CGCTTTCTCAAAATCACACAAAGTCATATTATAACATCGACTGAGATAAAGAATAAAATGAAATATTAAAATCACGATGTATCTCGCTGCATTGCTCGAGTACGCTTCTAGTATATATATATATATATATATATATATATATTTGTGTATGTGGAGGTTCAAACGAGACACCTTCATTTTACAAGAATGCAAAAACACCCTTATCACATATGATGATACATATGTGGGGACCCGATGATGTGCAGATGTCGTGTCGTAGCTTAAGTCGCGCCAAAGATCATCTGCGTCTACGATTTAACATCACACACATGATGGTCTTGATGAATTATAATATCATATCAGTAATATCTTTATCACATGTGATAGTACATATGAGGGAGACTTAGTGGTGTCAGAGCGACTTCGCCTACAATCTAGATCGCGCCAAAAGACGTCCACGTCTCTTATTTAGTACCATGTGTGATAGAATAATAGTATTATATATGATTATTTATCGGAAAATGGTTTTCTCACATTCTTATATATATATATATATATGTATATATATAAATTGAAATACTATAAAAATAGGATTGAATTTCACAGAAGTCATTGGTTGACTTTCAAAAAGTCAGTTACAAGCAGAAGTTTTTTGGGTTTGCTATTTTTCAACTCTTTTAAGTTCTTTACTTTTACTCGTTCCTAAATATATTATTTATATTTATTCATTTTTTTGGTTGAAATTGTTGTTGAATGAATTCAAATACCGTCAATGTAGAAACAACCAACGCCAAATATTTTGTACATATATTTTGATTATGTTTTAATAATATTAATTTCAAACAAAAATGTTAATTGTTTAATAAAATAATCTTGAATTTTAAGTAATATGTATCAATAAACAGTACTTTATGCATAAAAAATAATTTTTAAGAGTTTTTGTCAAATGTTTTATAATATAGTATAAATATATATAGGTAGAGGTTCAAACGAGAACACATCCGTTTTACGAGAACACATATGAGACCAGTCTGTTTTCATGAGACTCGTAAGACCATTTCTTTACACGTGAAACTTCACAGCAAAACGTTGTGAAGATAACCTTTCATAGTGTTCTTGCTGTGAATGTTCGGCTTTTTACCTCACAATATTTTGTTGTGAAATTTCAACAATTTTACAAAAACAGACTAGTCTCATGTAAATCCAATCGTCTATATATATATATATAAACGTGGAGAGACACCCATTATAGATTTATTAAATAGTATGGTTTTGAAGACAAAAAAAGGTATTTATCTTTTGGGAAAAGTCATAACACATAAGAATCTATAAATTGTCGTTTGTATGAAAATTTAATGAGATATTAAACTTGATGCTGTCGATCAAATTCAATGGCATCTCCCCCAAATCTTTTCTCCTCCCTATTCTCACCTAAATTTTCTTTAATGAATTAAATAATGTACTCCCCAGAGTTTTTGTCAGGAGGACTTTTGCAATTTCCCTTATCTTTGCCGATCAAGAACGCAATACAATCCTCACATATGCCCTACAAAACTTTCAGTATACTCTCTCTCTCTATCTCTAACCTCTTTTGGGTGTACTTTTCGTTTTCAATATGCACTTGGCTGCTTTGATTCTTGAAGTGAAGCTTTTTGTAACGGGTTTCTAAATTTTGTTCGAATTCTGGAGGATTTGTTATTTGTGCTGAAATTGAACATGTGGGATTTCGATTCATCTCCTAAATAAAGTCAATTTGATTTCAAGGTTTCGTGTTTCGACTTCTTTTTGTTGTTGATCTTGTATGTTTGTGTTCTTTCTGTTGTGGGTTTAGCTTCAAATGTGGTCTTGAAATTTTGCCTGCCAAGTGTTTGCGTTGAATCCTGAGTGAAGATTTGGAGATAGAAAGTTGAGGAAGATGGGATCGGGAAATGGGTTTTACTCAGAAGGAGAATTTAACTTGGAATCAAAGTGGTTGATTGATCCAAAGCTTCTTTTTGTTGGTCCTAAGATCGGAGAGGGTGCACATGCCAAAGTCTACGAAGGAAAGTAAGTCAACTGTACCATGATTTGTTCTTGATCAAAGCTAAATTCCAATGCAGAATGTGATGCCAATTTGGTAATTTGTGCTAATTGGGAAGATGGGATCTCATCAAATCTTGATATTAAAAAGCATTTGTTGGTCAAGATATTGGATTTCATAATAATTTTGTAGTTAAAACCTCCTTTTGATGAGCTCAATTACATTGTTAGAAGGATAAAAATGGTATGAATTAGATTATGATGTTTTTTCTGTTGTTGAAGACTTGAAGCTGATTCAGCTGTCTTTCTTGATTGTACGCATTTTTCCAGATATAAAAACCACAATGTTGCGATTAAAATCGTAAACATCGGTGAAACCCCAGAAGAAATTGCTAAGGTTGAAGGTCGATTTGCGCGAGAAATTGCAATGTTATCTAGAGTTCAACACAAGAACTTAGTAAAGGTAGTTCTTTGATATCATCAAGTAATGATATAGCATTGTCATCTTGATTAAATATCTGATCTTGAAGTAACTTTTTGATGTTCTATAAAGGCCAGAATGGATAAAAAATAGGAAATTTGAAACCTTTGTTATATTGATTGATAAAAAAAATATTTTTTACAATAAATTGCATTTTAATTCATTTTGCCATTATGTAAATGCAAATTACTCTTTGTAACCACAGTTTATTGGAGCTTGCAAGAAACCAATTATGGTTATAGTAACCGAGCTTCTTACTGGTGGGACATTGCGGAAATATCTGGTGAATATGCGGCCAAGGGGATTGGATACCCGTGTTGCTATTGGATTTGCACTTGATATAGCTCGTGCAATGGAATGCTTACATTCACACGGGATCATTCACCGTGACTTAAAACCTGGTAAGGGGCTGTTTGATTGATTTTCCATCAAGTCCTGTTGTCTTTGTGGATTAATCTGTCTATATAGATTGTGAAGGTTTTTGTCTGGGAGGGTTTTCTCATAGATGGAGGGAACTTTATATTCGGAGGGGAAGGTTTGGAAAAAAACTTGGCTTTTTGCATAAAGCTCCCCCTTAGAAGCTTACTGAATAAGCCACTTTCTACATCATTAAGCCACTACCAAACAGTTATTATAGTTGACCAAATAAGTTGCGAGTCCCATTGCAATTTTATTTTGTTGGATTGTTTGAAGTGAAAAAGTGGATCTTATGCACCATGTAGAATTCAGTAGTATACTAGGGGTGTGTAGCTTTCTTAAATTGGTTATGTTCTTGTTTTCTCTTAACCAGCTTTTCAAATCTCTATCATTTCTGACTCTCCTTTAGTCACACTTTCCACAAGTTGGGGTTCTTCATTGAAACAACTTTTTTACTCTTTAGGGTAGAGATGATATATTGTGTTTGTTTGGTTTAGTGTTAACTAGCTAATCTTATGTTTGTTCTTTCCAATGGAATGGTCAATATGTTACTTGTGCCTTATTCGATGTTAAAAGCATAGACAAGGGCTTACGAATAGGTCATAGATGCATCTTGTAAATGTGTTGGATTTTTGGGTTACTATCAAGAATTCAATATAATGTAAAGAAACTTGATGTTATGATCGGGATTCAGGAATCAGTTCAAACTTGTTCTTTTGAGGATGCGTTTGGTAGGCGAGATAGGGCAGAACAAAGACTTGTTATCCCATGTTTGGTGAGAGATTAGACTGGGACAGAAGGGTCCCACTGAAACAGGTAGAAGAAGAATCAAGGAGATGGGACAAGACGTAGTAAATGACTAAACTACCCTTGTCAAGTTAAAACCCTAAAACCTTTCACAATTCTTTCACTGCCTACCTCAGTCATGCCGGTCCAGTTACTTTCACATACCAAACGCACCCTGCTTGCACACAATTAACCGTTAACACTTTATACTCTTTCAACCAAGACCATAATCTATAGCTTCATTTGCATCAAAATCTATTGTGTTTCAGAAAACTTGCTGCTGACGGCAGATCACAGATCTGTAAAACTTGCTGATTTCGGTTTGGCAAGAGAAGAATCCTTGACAGAGATGATGACAGCAGAAACCGGAACTTATCGTTGGATGGCTCCAGAGGTAGTCTATTCTGAACGATAAAAATTCACTTTTTTCGTACTTCTCTGCTTCTTGTTAGTCAGGTATCCCTGTGGGTGTTCGATATTTACGTATTTTTTGTGGTTTTGTAGCTCTACAGCACAGTAACACTTAGGCACGGAGAGAAGAAACATTATAACCATAAGGTAGATGCTTACAGCTTTGCAATCGTCTTGTGGGAGCTCATACACAATAAGTTGCCTTTTGAGGGCATGTCGAATCTTCAGGCTGCCTACGCAGCAGCTTTTAAGGTATGTGGTCAAATATTATAGATGCGGATTCATTTGAGAACCATAAATATTTTGAGACTCGGTCTGATCACAATGTACATATCCACCTCCCCAGCTTCGGGTGGGATATGTTGATCTTGTTTGGTTTGGTAAATAACAGTGAGAACCAAATATTCATGTACATTCATTATGAATATTTGGTTTCTTGGTTTTCAAAATATTTATTCTCTAATGAACTTTTCCCTTAGTATTATAATATGAATCCAATGGCGGTAGTTTAGTGTTTGAAACCCTAGACATGATCAAATGAATCTCAACCGCTGATTGATGTATATTTATTAAAAAACGACATATCTCGGGTTTGTCGATGTTGGTTTGCAGAACGTGAGGCCGAGTGCTGATGACCTCCCAGAGGATTTGGCTTTAATCGTGACATCATGTTGGAAGGAAGATCCGAATGCTCGGCCAAACTTCAGTCAAATTATACATATGCTTCAACAGTATCTATCGACCATCAACTTGCCACTGGAACCCCCCACCATCCCACCTCGGATGTTCAACGTGTTCATACCGGATTCTCCTGGTACAAGCACGTTAATCTCGAAAGACAATGAAACGCCAAAAACGCCCTTGCAGAACACCCCGAGAGGCCCATTCTCCTGCTTTTATCAATGTTGTTGGTAATCACAAAAGCTTAGATGCAGAATATACATACGTACACGGTAAAACTAGAATGAACAATCCTGGTGCATCGTCGACAATTTTGGTGCACTTAGGATCTTATGATCCACGGACGTCCATGATCTAATGTGTTAGATGTTGATGGAGAAGCTGTAAATTATGAAAGCCACTTTAGATGAGATGGGGTTGATGTGATGAAAGTTGTGGGTTTAAAATATAAGAACCTCCCCCCTCCCCTCTATAACCTAATAAAAATCCTTTTGTTGACATCAAAATTTATAAGATTTACCTAACAATACTGATTTAGATGTTTATGTGAAAATAACTGAAGTTTTTGTCTTATGTTTGGTGTGATATTAGACTGGAAATTCAAGTATCTTAAGTCCTCTTATGTGAAAACGGCTAAAGTTTTTGCCTTATGCAGAGACGGACCTATAGTGGTGCATACAGTGGCACGTGCCACCGTATCATTCTTCCGTCGAAGGGTAAAAAAGTTTTAAATTCGTAAAAGGTGCAACCCTATTAATTTGTTGTGTGCCATCGTATTATTTTGAAACTACAATGAGAACAAATTTTATTTGGTATAATTGGTTTGCAAGACTTTTATTTCATTCTAGACTTAAAGTTCAAATGGTGTCATCATTTGAAATTTCGTATATTTGTTTTTATAGTCAAACGGTGTCACAATTTGAAAAAAAAAATTCTATATTTTTTTTTCTTATAGTCAAATATTGTCACCGTTTGAAAAAAATTCTGGATACATTCCTGGATGTTTGTTGTGATATTAACCGGACAGTAAGGTCAAGAAAATTGCAGTTTTGTCGATCTTTATCAAAATGAGTGAAATAAAATCAAAAGGATAAAAACAAAATTATCAAATTATTCATCTAAGATTAAAAGCAATTTAATTAATAAAAAAAATTACTCAGTTTTAATCCAAAATTTTTGACTGTGAAGTGTTGATTGGTTTTGGTAGAGTAATGAGGTTGCCGTCAAAATGATAACGCCGTTACGCGGATCGAGCACTAGCGTAATGAGTTGTCGTTAAAAAGCAAATGACGCCGTTGCCGGGGATCGAACCCGGGTCACCCGCGTGACAGGCGGGAATACTTACCACTATACTACAACGACTTACTTGATACAATGTATACTCTCGTCTATAAAAACGTTAATTCGTTTTATAAAACAATCCTTAAAATATGGAATTAAATGAGATTTGGATCATATTACTACAAGATTAATACAAATTTTAAAAATGAAAGAAGAATATTGTTTTAGAAAATCTCAAGATTTTTTAAAAATGTTACTGGTTTCCTAGATTTTTTTTTTAAGTATATAATATTTATATACGGCAAATAGAACAAATAAACTCACACATCTTCATCATCTTTGATGAAGTTTGAACCCTTGACCTCCTAGGAAGCAAATGACTCACATGCCGTTAGGCCAAAACCCTTTTGGTTAAATAACTAGAATTTGTCGTACAATAATATACTTTTTTTTTTATTATCTTATTGTAGGATAGGCGGGTTAGAACGAGAACACGGTCAACTAACAACAAATACAAAAATGGCCAAATCACATATGATTCTGGAGTAAAATCACATATGATACAAACATGTCATATTGACCAGCCACTGCACTAGAGGGTTTTCACGTGACCTTGGTCGTATTGACATCCTTTTGGACGTGGTGTATCACATTCATATATGATTTAGCTCTTATCACACTTCCCATTCCCATAAGTTGACCGACTTCTCAGTATGATCAGAGTGGATGGTTGGCCTTTTGACACAAAAAGACAAGAAACCCATATTTTGATGAAGGAAAACTAAAAGAACTCCTGTAGATTCTATTCAACAATAAGAATTGTGTACAAATAATCCCTAATTTTAACATCATACATAATCCAAATAAAGATCCTCTCAACTTTCATTAGCCTCACCTTTCAAGTTTCCACCTCAACACAAAAATTAAAAAAAAAAAAAAAAACCCATTAAAGATGGGTCTAAGATTCAATCACAATTCAAAAGGGTTGAACAACAAAATCTATATATAACTTTTGGGGATTTCTCTTTCTAAGTCTGTGAATTCCCATGCATCATCTACTGAGTATTCCCCTGTAACATAAGTTTATATCATCATCTCTAAAAATGGCTAAACAAACAGCCATAGAATTTGCAAAAATGGAAGTCGAAAAAATCAAAGAATCAAACGATTCTCATAAATCCTTAGAGATCGATTGCTTACCAATGGAATCTCTTCGTAGAGCAGTCATATGAGCACAGCTGCAAGAAAGAAAGGACAAAAAGCAGAATCAACAGTTAAAATGTCTCGAAAATGGCAAAAAATGAGATTATGGAGTTTTTATGATCTTTTTTTGCTACAACAGATTCTCTAAAACTTTCTCCAAGAGAGCAGGAGGGAGAGAGGAAAATTTCCTACAAATTTGGAGAACCCTAATAATATAATTAGAGTAAATTATGATTTTTGTCCTTGTGAGTTTGTTAATAATTTCGATTTTTGTCCCTGTGGTTTAGAAATTGCCATTTTCGTCGCTATAATTTGCAATGTATTGCTATTTTCATCCCTGGACTAATTCTTACCTTTAAGTACAAGGGACCGAAACAGTAAATAACTGTAAACCTCAAGGACCAACACAACAAGAAATTGTAAATCATAAGGACGAAAAATAGCAATGAATTACAAACAATAGGAACGAAAACCACAATTTATAAACCATAGGGACAAAAATCACAATTTTTAACAAACCACATGGATGAAAATCGTAATTTACTCTATAATTAATGTTGAAATCTCCAAAATAGACAAACTGCCGGAGTTGAATGTAGTTTTTTTGGATATTTTGATTTTTGTTTCTTCGTTTTGGAGAAATTATGGAGAAACCATTGGAGATGCTTTTAGTGATTAGATTACCTGTTGAGAGCCTTGGCAAAATCTGCACATAGGGATCGGATATACGTCCCTTTTGAGCATGTCACCCTGAAAACCACATTTTGTCTACAAAAACAACTCGTAAATTTACGTGAGCCGTATAGTAACTAATAATTACACATTTCTAAAAGTGTGCCTCTTTTTTACTTTTAACATCTATTTGGGGCTGGGGGAGTACTATCGATAAGATTATGTGGGCCATAGAGTAACGAATACAGTTGATCACAAGCGACACCAATCAGCCCCATATTTCTCTTTATCGAGGAATAGACGAAGCCGTACAGGGGATAGTTGTCTCACGCCCCTAGGTATTCTCTACCTACCCACCTGTGTCGCTTTCCTTTTTTTTGAGGGTACTCCCCGGAACAGATCAAATGGAGACGGAAGGGTGCCTCCTCACAAAGGAGATCCCGGTGACCAGGCCCGGGCAACTGTTTTTATGGTTCATCCGGGGGAGAGATCGAGTTTCAAGAAATAGTGACTGGTCTTATGAAGGTTGTACTTGGACTTGTTTCTTTTGTGGATCAATAGAAAGAGTTCAATCAAGGTGTGCATGAACATGACCTGACATGACAAGATTGGACATTGGACTGAATATAACTGGATAGGTGAGAGTGAGGTAGACGGGTGAAAGAATTGTGAAAGGTTTTTTAAGGTTATAATTTGGTATGGGTAGTTTAGTAATTTATCACTCTTGTCTCATCTCCCTGATTTTGTCCACCTATTTTGGTGGGACAGCAAAAATGCATTTTTGTCCTACTCAATTCTGTCCTATCCCAGTCTAATTGTCGCACCAAATATAGGGCAACAAGTTTTTGTTCTGTCTGGTCCTGTCACGTCCCACATACCAGATGAACCCTCATTTCTAATTGGTCTCTTTATTATACAAGTTTCAGCGATACTTGATTCAATATGTTTATTTCTAACGGTTTAAATAACGAGCTAAATATGACGTATGAGTATTAAGGTTATTAAGATCAGAAGAGATGAAACATATGATGAATGAGAGCCATCAAGCAACAGGAAACCAGAGAAGAAGATTGGATATCGAACTAACCTGTCTTCAAGACTTCGCTCAACATCAAACTGGAAAATTGATATCCGTCTTGGTGAAAGTTCGATACTTTCTCCTCTTCTTGCTTTCTCATATAGCCTCTCACCTCCAACCTATTATAAAATACGAGACTATTAGTAAGTCGTTTAATATGTTTATTTCCGCTTTGTCCAAACCTGGACTCACGGTTTTAAAACGCCTCTGATAGAGGAGTTATCTGGTCCCTTATAAGGCAATCTTCGTTCCCCTCCCAACAGATGTCTTCCATTTGGAGACATGTAGCTCAAAGTGGCAAGAATGATATATTGACATGGTTTGAAAATTCAAACAAGAATTACATGTTTAACATGTCGAGGCTCTAACAGAAATAGCAGCAGCACTTACTTTAATGGCCGAGAACATTGGAGGAACTTGCCATATTTCCCCACAAAATGATGCAGCGGTTTTCTTTATGTCATCATCCTTGATGTGCTCCCATGGCTCACGTTGTATTACCGGTGAGTCAGCATCTAGAGTTGAGGTAGCTTCGCCTAAACGAAGGACTCCGCTATAACCTTTATCCATACCCTGAAATCTGCCATAGAAACTCGCAAAGTTAGTGGAAAGTTCAACATATTTCCGGAGATCAACTGCCATCAAACTTGCATATCCCCCAAGTATATATATATATATATGGGCAGGTCCATTAGGAACCTCGTTTTCATTAAGAACCGGGGGACCATCCACAGAGCTACACATGCCATAATCATCAGTAATATGGGCATGTTATTTATCATATGGGCGTGTTATTCACCATGAATGTGTGATTCATGATGAATAACATGTCCATATTCACCATGAATATGCTATTCATGATGAATATTCATCCAGAAAAGGGACATGTGGCATGTTGTAGGCGGTTCCCGAGTTCTCGACGAAAAACAACTTCTCAACCGAACTTTCGTCTCTCTCTATACACACACACATATACACACACACATATTGAGCTTGAGTGCTCACACACACACACATATATACACATATTGATCTCGAGTGCTCACACACTCACACATATGATGGTATCGAAAAAGTAGAAAAAGTGCTTGGCATGCACACTTTGTTGTGGGCTTGTCACTAATTATGCTTTTGGAGTCCAATATCGACTACACTTGGACTCTTTTTCCTTGATGTATGTAGAATCTCCCTTCTCTCCTTAAGGTCTCTTTTGGAGAGTAATATAATGCAGTTCCACATATTCTAGCACGGTATCAAAGCAGAGCAAGTTCTACAACTTTAGGAGCTCGACACTCTGGGGGGCATCAGCGTATTGGAGTCCCACATCGGCTAGACTTGGACCACATTTGCTCAATATGTTGGAACCTCCTTTCTCTCGTAAGGGCTCTTTTAGAGAGTATCTAATGGGGTTCCATATATTTTAACAGACCTGTAGCAAGGTAGAGTAGACTAAGTGACATAGAATATGAAAGACGACTTTTTGAGTTTGCCGTGTTGGTGATAGTTCCACTAGATACAGTAAGGGGTTGTTTGGTTGGTTTTTCATTAAGTCATGCATGAATAAGGCTATCTGTATGGATTAATCTGTCTATATGGATTGAAAAGGTTTTTGTTTGGGAGGGTTTTTTCATATATGGAAGGAGCATGTTTTTTCATTGGGAGGGGCAGGTTTGGAAAAAACTTGGCTTTCTACATAAAGTCCCCCTAGAAGTTTACTGAATAATATATCATTAAGCCACTACCAAACGGTAATGTGTAGCTGACTGAATACGCTGAGAGTCCCATTAAGCTCATTAAGTTGCTAACACACAAGCCCTAAGATGTTAAAATATAACACAACCATACCTATCAACCAACTTTGTTGCTTTGCCAATACATACAATAAGCAAACCAGTTGCCATAGGATCAAGGGTCCCTGCATGCCCAACCTGTAACAAGTAACATCAAATACAATAGTTGCAATATCTTGCTACAAATAAACCAAACGAACCCTATATACCCCACCGTTGGTTGGTTAAGATGTACAAAGACCTAACCTCTACCTAAAGAGTAGAGCAGTTGTTTCCGTGAAGACCCCCCCCCCCCGGCTTGTAGCAATATATTGTTATAAATACAAAAGAGAAAAGGATACCTTCTTAACATTGACCAGGCGGCGCAACTTCCCACAAACCGTAAATGAAGTCCATCCTATAAAGCGATATCATAGCATCATCTTTAAGAACAATGTGGCAGCCAGCAAGGTAAAGACAAAAAAGAGATTTCTACGGAGTGCCAATAGAAACATAATATAGCTTTAGTTATCCCTTTTTTCTTATTTTCAATGCGCTTTTCTGTTATGAAGCCCTCTTGTTTGCTGATTGTTTAACACTTAAACTAAACGAAGAAACTTTTAGATAAGGAGTCTGATTTGGATTCGGGAACATCCACTCTACTCCTTGGGGTAGAGGCAAGGTCTAAGTACATCTTAGGGGCTGTTTGGTCAGTTTTTCATCAAGTCTTGTATGGAAAAAATTGTTTGCGTGGATTAATATATTTGTATAGATCAGGAAGGTTTTTGTTTGGAAGAGTTTTTTCATAGATGGATGAAGCGTGTTTTTTAATTGAGAGGGGCAGGTTTGAAAAAACTGATTTGCCACTACCAAACAGTCATGTATAGTTGACCGTATAAGTTGTGAGTCCCAGTAAGCTCATTAAGCTGCTAACAAACAAGCCCTTACCCTCCCCAGACCCTACTTTGTGTGGGATTCATTGGGTTCGTTAGAGTTACTTTGACTTACTACTGAATTCACAAAATTTATGATAAGAATTTGTTGATGTAGGCAAGTTGTTAAACCATGTAAGTAATGTGTCTTCTGTTTATTGTTTCTTGCAACTATTGTTATTGTGTGAATGATTTGCTATCTTAACAAAGTTGGTTCCTATATCAACAACACATATTGATAACTGACAAGTGTACTTCATAGTGGATTCGACTCAAAATTCTATTTGTTTGTTCCCTTTACCGGGAATTTTCTACTATATAGTAAACCAAACAAACAAAGTATATCCCACAAAGAGGTAGGATCAGGGGGAATAGGATGTAAAACAAAGCATAAATAAGACATGAAAAATAAGAAAAACTAACGCAACTCTCGATCTACAATAAGGCTCTAGTAACCTAAGTTTGTCCACCCTCTACCTTCTCTAAACTCCCCTCCTCCCGACCATGTTATCCACAAGTCCCCGCACGTAGTCCACTACCTAGTCCTACGTCTCCAACAGATGCGGACCTATAAATGTTTTAAGTTTGGTGGCAAAAATGAAACTATGGATAATTTTTGCAAAATCATGATTAGTCTGTTGGTTAGTTCCTTGCTTTTTGTATGTGAGGCCCTGTGTTCGAGTCTTTTATCCAAAAAATATTCATAAACATAATAAACCTGAAAGTAGAAGCTAAAAACTAAGAAAATGATAAAAATGGGACATGAACCCGCGCCTGAAAGGGTAGAAAGACCATGCAACGGTGCAAGCCAACTCTACCAAGAGAAACTTCTATTATTATTATAGTTTCAAGGAATATACGGTTGCATTACATCCAACAAAATGATATGTTGGCACCTTTCACCACCCTTAAAAATTTACAGTACGACAGGAGGAACAAGAGGTGACCCGTGCCAACAGTATGCACAATAGTGGGACCGCACCAGGTCTCCAAGCGCTCCTATCAAATGTCAGATCCTCGAAAATATCTAAGCCCGACATTTTCTACTATGTAGTGTGCATTTCAATTAGCATAGTACAACATAAAACACAAGAAAAGCTTAAATCACACAATGATATGTCGCAATTTGCAAAAATGTGCATCAAAGTATCAAAAACAAGGATTCTAACCTTTTGGTTTATTGACCAAAAGAACAGCTCCAGTTGGACCATCCCATTTAGGAGGAAGCCCGGAACTCCTACCCGATATGAATGGTAGTGTGTTATCAACTTCATTTTTTTCATTAGGGACTTTCTTCAAACACTTGAAGAACTCCTCAACTTTCTTCTCTGTAATGTCCATTTTCACATCTTTCTTCCCATCTTCATCCTTCAATTCCTTTTCCTCCTCAAAAAACACCAATCTCTTCTCATCTTTCTTCAACCCACCATTTTTAACAGCAACCCTCTTCTTCTTCTCCTCCTCCATAATTCCATTCGATTGACCTGGTTCAAGAAACGCCTTATCAAAACATTGATCAGGAAAAAACTTCTTCTCCAACTGATACACCATCTTATAATGCTTATCCTTTTCCCATGGATATGCAAAAGCATCATAGAAATATAATTCCTCTTCTCTTTTATGCAATGTGCGTAGCTTAACAACTTCTTGATTTAACTCTATATACTTGTTTTCATGCTTACCATCGTCATCTTCTGAATCCGAACCATACATCCTCTTTTGCCTCTTGTTGTAATACTTCCTCTTTGATCTATCCATCTCTTCATTCAAAAACATAGGTTGCTTTATATCTTGATTTTGTGTGGATGATCCATGTGCTGATTCTGAAGTTAATTTCATATCAACCCAATCATCGAAGCCCAATTGGGAATTTGGGTCGGAGTCGGATGGTTTCGAATTCGGGAGTGGTGGTGGTGGTCTCCGGCGGCGAGGATGGTGGAGGTTCGGAGTTTGAGGTGGGCGGGAGATTATCATTTCGTATTGAAGTGGAAATGGAGTTTTGGTGGTGGAATATGAATATATAGATTGTGATATGAAAGGCTTGCAGAGTAGTTGTGTACGAAAAGATAAGATTGGTCGAGGATGGAAGAAAACGAGAGATGATGCACGGGTTATGCAATTTAATTTCGCCATTTTTGTTCCAAATTGATTGTAGTTGCAGAGAATTTGAAGAAGATGGAGCGATGGTTTTAGGTTTTGAGTCGTATGTAACTTCAAGAAACAACAAGACCAACGAACAAAAATGTCAAATAATCGAGTTACACACTTATGACGTCATTAAGTTAATTTTAGATTTTAAAAAACTATTGAGCTACTTAAAATCTCATTTAAAAGTAAACTGAAAGGGTACTCGCACAATATAATGGGACAAATCTTTATTTTAATGTTTACTTTTTAATATATATCTATCAATATAATATAATTTTTTGTAGTTTTGAAAAAACGATAATATTTTTTTCTGAATGAAATATATATATTTTAAAAAAAATAAATTGATATTAGTTTCAAATTAACTACTTAATAGTTCTAATTTTTTTGTGTAACTTTTTGGATTCAATTTTTTATTACAAGTTAATTTATATTTAATGACAGAGTAATTTATTTTTGATTTAATAATATATTTTTTTATAAAGATAATAATCCAACATTATGTTAGAATCAATGATTATCTTAATTATATTTTAGATTTTCTATATTTAAAATTGATATTTATCATGTATTTAATCATATTTATTTATAGTTAGTTACACAAAATTAAAAAATAGAGCTTTAATAAGTTGTACTTGTGTAAAATTACTTGTAAAATTGAATTATAAGTAATATACATCAATAAACTATACTTCATGCATAAAAAATGGTTTTAAAAGTTTTTGTCAAATATTTTATAATATAGCATTGATAAGCTAATTAACCCTCATATATGACGTATTTTAAAATTTCTATTACAATTTATTGTCTATCATGACTTTAGCCCTTGGGCCCTAGCTTTAGTTTTTTTTTTCCATAAGGAATTGTGATGTCTTTGTACTGGGAAATTGACATAAATAACCAATCATCAAATAGAATTTCACTTTTTAGGATTGGTTAAAAAGTGAATTTGGATCAGATAATGACTAAAAAATAAAACCACCTATCAGTTTTGGCTATTTATGTAAATTTTCTTTTCTTTGGATAGCAAGTTTTTTTTTTATTAGCTCCTATTTGTAGTGCACAATTTTGTGGAATGTAGCTGGTGGTGATAATTGATTGATAGAAAAAAATGGAATGGTACATATTATTTATTGGGGATTTCATGTCTTGTATTGCGTGGCAGGAGATTGTGTAGTCAGTTATGAGGTGACTATTATTGGCACCCCTTTTTCTTGCTTATTAGTCAACGTGTTATCCATTGCTTACTACTCGTAGAAACATCCTACCTATACTACAAGTCGTCCACCTATTTTTTGATCTCCTTTCTTTCTATTGATCATATTTTTGGCTTTGACCCATTCAACACGAAAAACAGAGTTGACGGTGTTGGCTAAAATAAGAATCACCCTGTCCTAGCACAATTCTTCTATATCTGATTGGCCCATGCACATATAATTCGTTACTTTTTGGCCGGATCAAGTGGTGAGTGTCGTCCACTGATTGCTAGAGTGCAAGCCCACGTCCGATCTTAGGCCACATACATTTGCATGCGACCTGCCCGCAAGGAAAGATGAAATATCTTTTTGTTAATACTCTTTATTCCCAACCAAGTTTTGTGCTTGGGAATTTCCTTCCATTCAACGTTTAACAAAATATGAGATAGTGCTTATGAGAGGAACACAAAACTTGCATGGTGGTGCATGTGGTATTCGATTAAATTTCATAAATTCAACTGATAAAGACATTCTGATATAAAATTAAAGCGTTGTTTTGGGGTTCTACTGTACACTATAATACTACATAAATCCTAGTTTTTTTTTTTAATGAGTGGTAATTGTAGTAATTTTTCATTTTCAAATTATAGTCAAATTTTACAACCTATTATGTTGCACTGAAGTCTGAAACACAATTAGTTCAACAAAACATGGATATTTGTTGAACACCTTTGGTTGACTTGTTTACATTTTCTCAATATGTGAACTAAAAAACATAAGAAAAAAATGCTGATAAATAAGACTATTAAGAGGTTGATAGGTATTGTCTCAATGGGCTTTATGATCTATATGGTTTAGTAAGTAAGTTATAACATAATGATTGAATGTGGCTTATTCGTAAGACAAATGGCTTATTTGCTTAATCCACTTCCCCTTGTTATACCCATTAAGTTGTGAAAAGGGTGCCTTATATCCCTCTCTTATGATTCACATCTAACAACCTCTCTTTGTTGTTTGTCCTTGATGTAAAATGGATTTTGATTGTGCAATTATCGCTTTTGGTTTGAGAAAATCCATATACACATAAGGAGTTTGATGAAAAGAGCGTGACTGAACAGCAAAAATGTCGTTCAAACTATTTATTCAGCACAACAAACAACAAATTAACTTAATCAATGTAGACAATTTATTCCATATATAGTTTGATTAAAAAAAATAGCAAAAAAAGCCACATGGAATTTCTCGAATAGGCAGAATATTTGATAATTCCAGTGATATCCCATTATTCATAATCTTATCGTGTTGAATAAATTCTCTGTATAATCCGACAAAAGTGTTCCCTTTGTTCAAATATTGATTATATCGCTTTTCAGTTATTTTTTGCCGTATGTAATATTTCCGTATGTCGTCAAATATGCCAGTTGTTTATAAACAAAACAATTAACATAACATTTTAAAATGTTAACCACTTGTAATACGTATATTCCATTTCCACCATTTCGGAAACAGATTAGTTATGAATGCATTTATGTGGTACAAGTAAGCTTTAATTTATACTTGAATGCTTAAAGACACATCTAGAATCCAAGTATTCCTTATTTTAACTCAAAATGTCGAATTCTCAATTATTACATAATTAAAAAATAAGAGCAAAACAGAAATTGTTTTATGTTATCAAACCACCTTAAAAAGCATTATAACTTTAATTGTTTTTTTTTTTGATTAAACCAAACATATTAGTTATGAATGAGTTTTGTTTTTTTATGATCATGTAGCATATATGTTTTTTATGTTTAACAGTTATTGAATGATTTGGTTCAAAATGATTAAGTGGTTAAAGTGATTAAAAGACTCACGTGATATAGTGTAAAATGAAATATAATTGTTTGGTAATTGTTTATGATGAAATTAGGGCGCTGAATGGTTAAAAGGAGAGACATAAGATACAAAATCATTTAGAGGGTTTTAGAACCATTAGGATTTTTTTTTTGTCAAACAAGATTCATCTCTTAACAATTCAGATGCTGCATCTCGATAAAATTATTAAGAGGTAAACAGACAACTCCTTAGTAATATTAAACAATTTAAATTTGTACAAAATGCTAGAAAAATCATATACGAATGTCATATATGTATACAACTCATTGAAAATGTTACATCAAGAGTTAAATGGTAAAAAGTAAGTCAATACCAATGACAACGAATAAAAATGTCAAATACTAACATTTTAAAAATAATTTGTGCCTGCCTCGTCTAATGTAACTGATGAAACCCAACTGAACCTACCAAAACCCCTTAAAACGAGAAACTCTCACTGATCCATTATAGGTTTAACACCGACAATACCAAAGATAAAAAATAACTAAGGTCTTGTTTGTTTTTATAAAAAATCTCTTATTAGCCTCTTATGTCTGATTTGTTAAAGGTAAAGTCATTCAGACTGTTTGTGTTTTTCAAATTTTCAGAGGCATTTATTTTTTATTGTCCTCTTATCTGGTAGGAGGTAAACCAACCTCTTATTTACCGCTTATTGTTTTTCAAACTATCAACAACGACATTTCTCAATCGATTAACCTTAATCGTCATTTCTCTCGATCAATCCTTACCAAATCAACCTTCACGTCTCTCAGTTAATATATTGTAGGATTTAAACGTGTTAAATACGTTGATGACATATTATTGTTTAAATGAATGCTAACTATATAATTTAATCTAAAAAAACTAGTCTTCAACCGGTTACCCAGATACTTAAATGGTTAAAATTTTACATCTTCAATACCAAAATATAAGTGTATAAATACATTACCCAAAATAAAAATTAAGTTAAAGTAAGTTACCCTTAAAAAATATATATTAAGTACACATTTATCTATACTATATTATAAAGCATTTGACAAAAACTCTTAAAAACAATATTTTATGCATAGAGTACTGTATATTGATGCATATTACTTAAAATTCAATATTACAAGTAAATTATGCATAAGTACAACTTATTAAAGCTTTATTTTTTAATTCGTGTAACTAACTGCAGATAAACATAATCAAATACAAGATAAACATATCATTTTAAATATAAAAAATTAAAATATAATTAAGATAATCATTAAATTTTAACATAATACTTAATTATCATTCTTATAAAAATTATATTATTAAATAAAAATAAATTACATTATTATTTAATATAAATTAAAATTATAATAAAAAATTAAATTAAAAAAAGTAAACAAAAAATGAGAATTTTTAAATAGTTAATTTAATACTAATATCGATATAAATTTTTTAAATTTATATATCGTTCAAAATAAAAATATCATCGTTTTCTAAAATCACGTAAAATTATATTATATCGATAAAAAAAATATTAAAATTAAAATATATCTTGCTGCATTGTACGAATATTCCTCTCGTAATATTTTTAGAAGGAATAAGATATGTTTTTGAAGGCATGAAAATATGATATTTTGAGTGCATCCTAATGTGTTACACTTAGACTAACACGTGGCATTTCTTCTGGGAAGAAAAACCTCCCATTTTAAAGATTCTAATCTTCAATCACTCTCAGATTTTCAATTTCCTTTTAATTTGTTTGGATTTTTATGATGAGAAATGGAAATTTTTGAAGGGTTAAGGTTTCTTCAAAAGGGCTTTTCAATTTCTCTCAAATTTTAGGATAGAGAGAAAGCGAGTGTATACTCTGCATGTATATATAGAGATAGAATCTGTATCTACACACCCATTCATCCGATTGAGGAGAGAGATAGAGAGCGCCATTGAAGGCTAAACTATTTTCGAGGGTTAAAGAGATTATGGAAGAATTAACCCTCTGAAACATTCCCTTTTCCAACCCATTTTTGTTGGTTTGTTTAAGCGGTTTTTTTGGGGGTTTTCGTTTATGAAATTCGTATGAACACAGGGGTTTAATCAGTATTTCTGCTCAATTCGAAGGAAGAATTAAGAGAATAGAATCAGTTTTCTGGATTTTGGGGGTTTCGAATCGGCATTTTGATCTGAAATAAGTTCCGATTGTTGATTTTTGCCTCCATGATGACTGATGGTTATTCAACTTACAAGAAGAAAGATGATATCTGTGACGATGTGTGTGGTCAGGTATGCTTATCTATAACTGTATCCTTTTAGGGTTAATTTATATTTCTGTTTCTAAACACGATTCTTCTGGATTTTCGTTATTCTGTGAAATTTATGACAATTAGTACTGTTCGATTTTTTGGAATTTCTATGAATCGATGGTAATGCATTTCAATTTGCCACTAGAATTGCTGTTCTTCAGAAGCTATTGATCTTAAATGAACCCTAGAATCATCTGGGCTCACTATCTCCAACAATTTTGCTTGAATTCTGTGGGTATTGTTCAATGATGCTATTTTATACAATTGTTATCAACAAATTAGGCAAATATGAAGCATGAGATGGTTGAATTTTGGGTTTAGACTGCAAAGGTTGTTTACTTTTTCCCATTAGAGTTAAGAATCACTGCACAAAATTGATTCTGTTTATTGGGGTTTTGATTTGGGGTTCTTTTTGCAATTCTCCTTGATTTAGAAAAAAGCTTTCAACTTTTCATGTTGGATTCCGTAAAGGGTATCCATGTGGTGTTATTGGATTAGTTGATCCTTCTATGAAGTTGTATACTCATATCTAGTTTTTCAAATGTTAAACATATCTACATTTCTTTCGGATGGGGGTCGCGACCCCACCTCTGGGTGGGATATACTGGGCCTGTTTGGTTTGGTTTATCTGTGAAGTTGTATCTATTAAAGGTCATGGGTTTGATTTGCACCAACCCGATGAGCCATGGTGCGCTTGTTTCCTTCTTTTGGGATCAAAATTGATATCGGCTTTACCAAAGGAGTATTGGTGTACCCGTGTCCTTTTATTGGAACACACTACGCTCGGGTCCCCTTTCTTGGATCAAACCAATGTCCTGTTACAAAGACTTAACTTGGTGCACCGGGGTCCCTTTTCTAGATCAAATTGATTTTAACCCGAGATGACTTGGTGCCTCTAAGTTCCTAAGAGTCTATTTGTATTGCTATTGCTTACTTATATATCCAATTTTCAAGGTTTAAGCGTACTTGCTTTTCTTTTTTCACACACTTTTGGTAAGTTGGGGGTCTTCACGTAAAGAACTGCTATATTCTCTGCAGTAGAGGTCAGGTTTGTTTACATCTTACCCTCCCCAGACCGCACCTTCGAGTGAGATACACATGGCTCATTTGGTTTGGTTTAAAGTTTCCCAATTGAAAGCCTCTAAATGAGGAGCTGTGGTGCATCTGAGTCCCTTTTTTCTTGGATCAAAGTAACCTTCATGAAGGGCAAGTTCAAATGCGAACCATAGATGTTTTCAGAATATATATGCATATATATATATATATATATATATATATATAGGGTTATGTTCAACGGAAAACCATAAAAAACAAAAACCGATGAACACCCTAGTAACCGTTCATATGCACATGTGACTACAAGTAATTTTTCCGGTATGCACATGTACATAGCAAGCACACGTGTATAGAAACCAGAAAACATCTTTCGGTACTTGTATGCACGCGTGTAATACCGTACAGTTGGACGGTAGTCGGGGTGTTCCTCAGTTTAGCATTTTTTTGGGGTTTTCCCCTTGAACCCCTCTCTCTTTATATATGTATATGTGTGTGTATGACTGTATGTATATATGCATTGATGCATATACCCTATCAAAATGTCAATTAGTATATTCATCAATGTATATGTACTATATATGCAAGTATATATGCATTGGTGCATATACTTACTGTAAATTTATGGTTCTCATTTTAACCTTCCACTTGTTCTATCCTATGTTCCGGATGCAGTTTTAGGCTTTTCTTCATCAAATTTGGGTGCTTTAGCATCTTTGTATGTGTCAAAAGGCTCAATCTTTCACCATTTTTATGTTTTGTAGGAGGTAAGCAGGATGTCGAGAATCCGTTGCATGATGCAAAGTCTGGATTTACGAACATTTATCATATTATTTGTGATCATTCCATCTGGGTTTGTGGGTATTTACTTTCATGGACAGAAACTGACTTACTTTCTAAGGCCTCTATGGCAATCTCCCCCAAAACCGTTCATTCCGATACCACATTACTATCACGAAAACGTTTCAATGGCTAGTCTTTGCGAGATTCATGGTTGGAAATTACGAGAATACCCTCGGAGGGTCTATGATGCAGTCTTGTTTAACAATGAGATAGATATGCTTACGATCAGATGGAAAGAACTCTACCCTTATATCACACAATTTGTTCTTCTCGAATCTTACTCTACTTTCACAAGCATACCCAAACCCCATTTCTTTGCCATCAATCAAGAAAGGTTTGACTTTGTGAAGCCGCGTTTGACCTACGCCACGATCCCCGGAGGATCGAGAAAGGGAAAGAACCCGTTTGTTGAAGAGGCGTACCAGAGAGTAGCAGTTGATCGGCTTCTGAGAATTGCAGGTATCGAAGATGATGACTTATTGATAATGTCGGATATTGACGAGATCCCGAGTGGACACACGATCGATCTTTTGAGATGGTGCGACGGATCCCCTCCGATCATGCATCTTAATTTGAACAACTATCTATATTCATTCGAGTTCAATTTGGATCATGACAGCTGGCGGGCTTCGGTGCATAAATACGAAAAGGGCCGAACGAGATACGCTCATTATCGGCAAACCGACTATCTCTTTGCGGATTCCGGATGGCATTGTAGCTTTTGCTTTAGAAAAATAAGTGATTTTGTGTTCAAGATGAAAGCGTACAGCCACTCGGACCGAGTGCGGTTTCGGCATTATCTCGACCCAAAAAGGATTCAGAATGTGATTTGTAACGGTGATGACTTGTACGATATGCTTCCTGAGGAGTACACATTTCGAGATATCATCGGGAAAATGGGACCGATCCCGCATTCTTATTCGGCGGTCCATCTGCCATCGTATTTGTTGAATCATGCCGATGAGTATAAGTATCTTTTGCCCGGGAATTGCGTACGGGAAACGGGTTGAATCGGGTCGGTGTACCCAATACCATGCAGAGAAGTATGTGGTAGGGATACCCAGGGGCAAATATGGCAATGCATATTTTGATTTAAGTAGGGAAAACTGCAAAGTGTTGGGTGGTGTTTTTTGTGTATTTATGCAACCCAAACATACCTTCAACTTGCATTTTGACATATGTTTATGGGCATTGTCTTACACACTGGTTTCAATATTTGATGAATTTTTATCATTTAAAAACTAACAAATAAAATAATATGACAAATTTTAATTATTTAAAAATTAATAGATAAAGTAGCCAACCAGGGATCATAATTTTATACTAAATCAAATCTCTGTATGTGTATCAATCAAATTAGCAGCGGTTTAGTTGGTACCGATTACAGTTAGTTCAGTTGGTAATATCATATCAAGTATGTAAACTTGGTTGGTACACGGTATTTGAAAGTCACATATCAAGTAAGTATAATGGTACCAACTTATTTAATTATTTATTGGGTTTTGTATTTTTTATTTCTTGAATATTAAATATTGCTATTTTAATTACTTTTTTTTTTTTAACATTTGAACAATGAAAAACTCTTAAGCCTCATTATGTGTTACCTTAAAATTCAAAATTCGAACAAAATGCAAATTTTCATCTATGTAACTTTAAATCGATACAAACATAACACCAACACATACGAACTTAAAATAGTTGGTGTCAAATGCAGTTAGTTGATACACTACGATTATATTGGTTAGTACATGGTATTGGAACTTGGAAGTAGGGATGTGTAAAACGCAAATGGTCCAAAATTCGAGTTCTAACCGAAAATAAGGTATTCATTCAAAAGTAAAACCTGAAAATCCTGAAATATGAAAATCCAAAACTCGGCTTTTGGGGGATATTTGAGTTCTGGTTGAGTTTGATTTTTAGCCACCTAATCCGACCGAAAACCCAAAATATGTATGCATACATATTATATAAATACTAGAAGGGCACTCGTGCAATGCATCGAGACAAATCTTGATTTCAGTGTTTTGTTTTATTCTTTTTTTATGTCAATATAATACAGTTTTATGTGGTTTTGAGAAAGCGATAATGTTTTTATTTTTAAATAAAATATATTGAAAATATCATAAAATTTTGAAAAAAAAATATCTATATCAGTATCAAATTAATCTTTTAAAAAATTATTTTGTTTTGGTGTAATTTTCTTAATTCAATTTTTTTTAATTATAATTTAATTTAGATTTACTAACAAAGAAATTTAATTTAGGTTTAATAATATTTTTTTTATAAAGATGATAACTAAATATTCTGTTAGAACTCAATGATTATCCTAATTATATTTTAGATTTTTTATATTTAAAATGAGATGTTTATCTAATATTTGATTATATTTATCTACAGTTAGTTACATGAATTCAAATATGGAGCTTTAATAAGTTGTATTTATGCACAATTTACTTGTAATATTAAATTTTAAGTAATATGCATCAATAAACAGTACTACGTATATAAAAAATGATTTTTAAGAGTTTTTATCAAATACTTTATAATATAATATAAATATTTATTTATAATAATTATCAATTTCTTTTCTCGTTCTTTACATATTTGGAAAAAAGTTAATCATTATTTCCTTTTCGTTTTCTTTATAAAATATCTCGAAAACATAATTTTTAAGATTATATTTTTATTCTTAAAATAATAAAATAATATTTCAATAAAATAAGAATAATATTATATATATTTTGTATCAAAATCAAATCAAATATGTATTTTATAATAGATTACAGATAGAGGGTTAGGTTGAAGAAAAACGTAAAAAAAAAAAAATTAAAGAATAAATCGTTTATTTAAATTGTCAACGCATAAAATGTATATATGTATAAAAAAATAGGAGGATGTTTGTTTATTTTTTAATAGTTTTATCAAAAAGAAGTTTTTGAATTGTCAAGAGGTAATCCTGTTTGACAAAATAAAATCCGTCTCTTAATGGTTTTAAAGCTTTCTGAATGATTTTGCATTCTATGTTCCCCTTAATCATTCAGCGTCCTAATTTTATCATAAACAATTACCATATAATTATATTTCATTTTGCATTATATCATGAGAGTCATATGTACAATATAAATAATTATTAGAATGTTTATCAGTTTTTTATTTATTTTATTTTCTAACCCCCATTTGTAAAATAAATATACATTGTAAAACTCTGTAGTCTGTGATCATCATTAATTTGATCATATGAAATCAAAAATCATACGCCTTCAAATCGTCATAAATTTTGCAACTCCGCCTACAAATACCCCTTAAATTCGTTTGCTTTCTCCAAGTTAACAGGAAAAAGGGGGAATTTTGGGTTTCTGTCGTCTCTTACTTCGCTTCCCCGCGAAAACACGATCGATCTTTATCGCTTCCAAACCTTGAATAATTGTTTAAGAGAAGCTCACGAACGCAGAGGATTTTAGCTACGATTCGTGAGTATAGCTGTTTCCATCCTATCTGTTTATGTATATTTGTATACATCTACTTACTGAACGAACAATTGTTGCGATGGATTAATGTTTCTGTTTCAAATGGATCAACTATGCATAATGTGCAAATTGATAATGTGGAATTTTGTTTACAACATGTGGATTATTGATAATGTGGAATTTTGTTTATAACATATTGATTATTGATAAAGTTGCCATGTATTAACACTCTGGTAGTGTGTTAATTGGATCTAGGGTTTATTTTGCTAAGAGAATGTGAAAGTATAGGGTTTGTGTAATCTGTTGGAATCAAGTTAGGGTTTTTGGTTATGAATTGAAATCAAGTTAGGGTTCTCATTGATCACAGCTCCCTGTTGCTTTTATTTCTTTTAACTACTATAGGCACTATAGGACATTTTGGTACTTTACTTGTTTAATGATGACCAGGAGTTGGCCTTGATGCATGGGTGAAATGGGCTAGGTTATAATGTACTGTGGGTTATACAATGATCATTTGATGGTTTCCACAACCGCCACAAAGCTTCCTTATAGTGAGAGTTAATCACTTAAAAAACCTTCCAACTTTGGTCCCAAGACTATTTTACTTCAAAGACTTTAATGGGTAGTGTATATATATATATATATATATATATATATATATATATATATGCCTAAGAGTTTAAGTTATCTTTGTCTTCATATTCGATAACCGTGTGGTCTACTATTTGTTGGCACAATAAATTTTAAATGAAAGAGCTTATTGGTTAAAAGAAATTTGGTTCTATATTTATTTTAGTTCACCAACTTCCATAAGGCTATATATATACACATCCGTGATCCATGAGCATAAAGGTTCTTGTTTTGATATCCAAAGAAATGTTGCTCTAGTGAATTTTACTAAATGTGGTGAAATTACTTTGTTCTGGATTTAGATTTTCGCATGGGAAAGAGGATAGCTTGAAATATGTTGTCAAATGGAAAGTTAGGCCCACTTTGATTTTGGACGTTCAAACAGTAATTTCAAAAATCAATATTCATTTAATAAACCAAACCATCAATGAGTAGAGCGGCCGTTTCTGTGAAGACCCCGGGTTTGTGAGTAGTGTGCTAAAATACTTAATAAAACTATTTTATTAAGTCATTAAATTTTGAACATTTAATGTTTAATAAAATAATTTTATCAAGTTACGTGCTTAATCAGCATGATAATTAAATTTAACAAGCACCCTAACTATTTTGCGCCTAACATTGAGTAGGCTATTTTACGCGTACCATTGAGTAGGTGTGTATATAAATGATTTTGATATCACAAGAAGTTTATGATTTGAGGTTGAAGATGCATAAAATGAAATGTGTTTTCTTAATCGGATGATGCGGCACATTGCTATTGGAGGATGAAATCATTAAAATGGTAACTGAAGTAAATTGAAGGTAACTTGAAGTCCGTGGATATGTAGACGATCTTTCGAAGCTCGAAGACTAAAATAGATCTAGGATCAAACATCTATGATCTTTTTTCTTCATGCCAACCAAGTGTTGCACTAGTTAAGTATTAAATTGATAGCCAGGGGGTGAATTGAAGGTAACCATAAGTCATGGACACATATGCAGCATTTTCATGATCATGGACTAATATCTATTTAGGACTAATGTTTCATAGTTTTTTTAATCAGTTTACTGTTATGATGAATTCAAACTTGGATGCTGTTATCCAACTGTCAAGCATGTTACTGAAATTGCGAAACTATTATTGTTGGCCCCAACTTTCTAACTTTTTTCATCGATTACAACTTTCTTTTCACGGCTTTCCTTTTTTCCTTTGTAATCCCCAAAAATCTAAAATTTCTCCCTTTGCATGTTCACCCCTTTACATGTTTCGACCAAATTACCTTTTCATCAATTTCATCACGATCAGATAACTTCGTTTTTTGTAGCACAATTTTACTGTTCTCAACACAATCAAGGATCTTGAGAAGAGCTCAGTCATTTGTAACATTGGAGGAGAAATATGTCCTCGCCGGATATTGCTGCAATCTTAGATCAGTCAAAGGAGCTTGATCGTTTAAGGAAAGATCAGGAGGAGATTCTCCTCGAGATCAACAAGATGCACAAGAAGCTACAGTCAAGTGAGTCTCATGCCAAATTTACATCAGTTATACCATCACACTTTCTATCATCATCTCACTATTGTTGCTAGTTTATGTCGTAATCTTACTCTTGTTATACTCTTAGTATGGTTATTTTGTGAATTCAATATTTTAGGGGAAACAACAATATTTTAGTGTTTTGGTTTCTCTGTTTTCCGTTATTAGATATTTAAAGGCTTCTGCTACCATTATCCATTTTACAATTAGGTTTGTTAGGGTTTTTATATCTATGACAGATATAGTGGATCAGGTAGTTTCTGTTGCTTTGTTGATGTTGTTTGAATTGACCTAAACCATATATCTGATTTTGCTTGCTCAGACGTAGCAGGTTGTTTGCTATGTTACTCGGATTTCTCTTTTGAGATGTCAAAAGATTATCAAAACCCTACACTGTGCTGTTTGCCAAGCCAACATGTACAGTCAATCACTGTTGGAGTTTTTAGTGGGTGAAATTGGTTACCTTGGGCATCTGAAGAAATTTAACTTCTCTAATAGGCTTGGAGGTCTCTTATTTGAGAACAGGACCAAAATGTGAAGTTACATGAAAGTTGGTGCTAATAGCAAAAGGTTCATTATTGTTTGTATACGATTGAATTGCTTGCCTTATTAGTAGAGTTTGCGACACTTCATGTTTATGACATATAATCACCTTCCTAACCTGGAAGATGTGGCACCATGTTCCACTTCACTCCCAATCCAAATTTGTGGCCAAATCAGGGCTCGAGATATTTGGGTTGTGCTTGTATCTATTTAGTTATTGTTGTTATCAATTTGGAGTTGGTGCCAGGTTCATATGAGTTTCTTTCTATTTTGGGACAGATTGTTACAGTTAACAAGAATCTTTCATATGCTGCTGCTATTTTGGGTCAGATTGTTACAGTTAGCAAGAATCTTTCATATGCTGCTGCTCATTTGTATGAATGCTCAGTCATTGAACTATTTTAACACTAAATGCACGTCAATTAAATTTCCATGATAATGTATCACTAAAGATGTTGAGGGTACATATTTGTTGTTAACCATACTTTAACTACTGCATGCCAGTTTGCTTCAACTGTAATTATCATATTTCCTATTCTAGGGGAACACTTAAAGAGTAGGTGCTTATTCTTTTAAAGATGCATGAATCTGGATCTTAGAGTATTGTTTTTCTAAATAAAACCTGTCATATGGGCAACCATTTAACTGATATTGGTTCAAGCTTGTTTCTCCTACCAAAAACCGCATTTGCCGATAAGAGGTCAATCTCCTTTACAGCTCTTTTTGTATTTCTAAAAAGCTCTGTTATTTTTTTCTCACTACAGGACACAAATACATCAAGCTAACTTCACACAAACATGATTTAGGGAAGCATTGTTTTTTTTTCCTTTTCACAAACATGCATCATATGGCTTAGTACTTTATCATTGGATGGTGAAAATCATCTTGATATAATAGCTATGCTTGTGTGGCTAGTGTTCTAAAATCTACGCATAAATATAGGTCTTGGAAACTGTTATGTAATATTGTACACATGACAGAGAGAAAACTAGAGAAGCATGAAACGATCTATGTTCTATGTAGTGCCGATATTCAATAAGCACCAGGCTAAGCATGCTCATGGAAAAAGAAACTTTTCTAAGCTATGCTATGTTAATGGACGATATATGTCCTCCAACCTTTTAATATGTATCATACGATGTTATTGGTTTTCAAACACTGTAGAGATCTTGTATTCAATTGTTTTTACCCTTCCTCATTTCCTGTCATACTTGGCATGGGGTTGAATTATAGCTTTTCTCGACTAATACCCATTCTAAATTTTTCATGACTCTTTGCATCTTTTTTCATTTAGTCATCATTTCCTGTGTACTTTCTGAACAACCACATGTTTGGCTTTAAGTGAAGCATACAGGATGACTACCACTACTTAAAGCAAGTTGTTGTCATCATTTATCACCATTCATAATAGGTGAAAGATGTGAGACGTTAATTGTGAGCCATTATGGTTGTATAATTTTCGTAGTAATGTTCATTATATTTCCAACCATATTATATCTATTAGTCCATGTTCTTGGATTATGTTATTGGCCGAATAGTGTTCTCAAGCAATTCTCTTACTTATGCAGCTCCTGAGGTGGTTGAGAAGCCCGGTGATAATTCACTTTCAAGGCTTAAGATGCTTTACATCCAGGCAAAAGATCTTTCAGAAAGTGAAGTAGCGTATGTCTATCCTTAAACTTCCATTCCTCCACCCCTCCCCCAATCTCCTATGAAGGGTCTTTGCCAGTATTTGCTGTGTCATGGGAACCAAGTTCCACTTACGTTTTGCCATTTATTCTGCTCTCTGCTTGAACTTGCCTGCTAGACTGTTCTTTTCATTATTTTTATTTGGTTCAGCAGCAATCTTACCAATATGCTATTTCTGTTATTGGGTGCAGTGTTTCCAGTCAGTTGCTAAGTCAGTTGGATGCTCTGATACCCTCTGGGCCACCTGGGCAACAGCGAAGAAGGATGGGTGGGTGCTCCCAATTTTCACAACGTTTATTATCCTTGCGGTCTTTGTATCGTCTCTTAGCTACTGAATGGGTTTCTTAACTAAAGACTTTCCAATATATCCTGTTGGTCAAATCCTTAAGAACTGTAACATCATGCTGTTTATCTGAGTTCGAATCTTGCCTTTTATAGTTCCTAGTAATGATCTGATGGCCATTCGGCCAAGGTAATGCATGCTTATGGTCATAGGTTAGGTGCTCAAAGCTCTTTGTCACTATGCATCTGAAATTTGTACTTCTTTCACCCCAAGGTGAAACCTTGTCTGCTAATACTAGTCAACACATGAATTATGATCCATCTGAAGCGAAATATACTTCCTGGGATATGGGTTGGATGCAATCCAATTATCATGACATCAATCTTGCATACCCTGCTTATATGTTTTTTGATTTATATATTGATTGAAATTCACGATTGTGTGGATAAAGGTCTGGGGCATTTGTCCAACATTAGCAAGCTAGGATACTAGAGTTCACAATAAGCTGTTACTATCATTATTATGGTTAAACTCAAGTAATATGCTGAATATGCATGACAAAAACCTTTTGTTACCTTGTTTTCATTATCCACTATTATATGTTTCAACAACTCTTGTGACATTTGCCAGTTTGATGATCATATTCCATGGTATAAGATCTTGATCTATCAGAATTTGGACAACCCAGTTCTTTTTTTGTTTATTATTCATAGGCATCATTGACAAAGTACCCAAATGTCTGTATGCTTTTTCAAGCCAAAAGCTTTATGAGGTTTTTTATACTGCAGAAGGTAATGAACAGAAGAAGAAAAGAATGAAAGCTGATCCTGATGTGCCAAGGCTTTCTCCTTCTGTTCGTAACCACCTTGATATTCTTGCAAGCTTAAAGGGAGAACAAGTATGCCTCATACTTTTCGCAATTGATTTTCTCCAAGTTTGTTGTTTAACATATCCTTTTATCATTATAATAGCTTGGTTTTATTATTATGCTTTAATATAAGATGGGCTATAGCTCTTGCTGTAACACTAATATATAATTTTGACAGGTTGCTGCTAGGGTTACACAGGAGAATGCAGACAAAGATGAATGGTTCATTGTCAAAGTAATTCACTTTGAAAGGGAAACAAGAGAGTAAGAACACTAGGATTCAATCTTCATTTACACATCATATCAGTTCAAAGAAGGGATATCCACCTTTGGATCAATCCAAATTGAAGAGAACCACTAGATCAACATAATGAGATACACTAGATGAATTCCCTCTTAAAGCGCAATTCATGGGTTGTTTTGGGATTGGAAGTGATCAAGGGTCCAAATTCCTTCTTACACTTTTCACCTTAACTCCTATTCCAATAATTTCTATGCTATTTGTTGATAAATGGCGTATTAGTGTGAAGTTGAAGCAGTATGTGGATTATGCAACTCCCTGTGTGCTACCATGAAGTTACTTAAATCTGTTGGTTTTGTTTACCCTACACATTGGCAATAACATGTAAAATCAGAAATTTGTATTTTGGGGTGTTAACTTGATTTACCATGAGCTGTTTATGTTCTTAAATACAACAAAGGAAAAAAAAACATATATGATGCAATTGATTGAAGGTAGCTTGAATACATTTTATATCTTGAACATATATGCCAATTTATTTTGTATTTTTTATGTTTGCTTTAATACCTGTTTGTATGATTCATGACATTATGCAGATTTGAAGTTCTTGATGAGGAACCCGGCGACGATGAAGAACCAGCCGGCCAGAGGTACATGTTATTTGTGATTATTTGTCCTAAACTAGATGGAGGTTCTTTCAGTATCACATTTTTTCTAGAGGTTCAGAGTGCTGCCATGTGGGCCTCCACTTGTCTACCCAAATTCGTTTTTCTTGTTATACGCTCCCTCCATAAAATAGCTGGATCAGAGGCGGATCCAGAAAAAATTCCGAGAGGGGGCTCAAAATTATTAACATAATATAAAGTAGAGTAGATTATGTTTTTCACCCCTGTGGTTTGATAAAGAATGCGATATTGCTGTTTTCATCCTTATGATTTACAATTTACTGTTGTTTCGGTCCCTGTGGTTTACATTTCTCTACTGCTTTGGTCTCTTGTACTTTAAATATAGGAATTAGTCCATGGATGAAAATAGCAATAAATTGCAAACCATAGGGACAAAAATCGCAATTTCTGAACCACAGGGATGAAATTGTAATTTACTTTATAAAATAAAACAAAATTTGATTATAGAAAGTACGGAGTAATTACAACAGCAGAGTGGTTTTTCCATTTTTTCTGCTGCTGTTAACAAAAAATAGCCAAAGGGATTCAAACTTGCAGCCTGTAATGTTGGTTGCAGCCGCTTTTTGTTAACTTAGGGGACACATCAAATTAAAGCGGGTGAATCTTTTAAGGCCGCTAATTTATTTCCATTGTGTCGAGACGATAGAGTTGGGGCACGGGCACCCCCTACTGAATTCTCCCCTGGCTGGAATCCACTTTTGTTTATGAAAGTTTAAACTTGCTAAAAAAATAAAAATAAAAAAAGAACATCAATATTTCTAGCTTTTTTAGCTCAAAATGTTCTTTTTGGTGTTTTCAGGAAGTACAAGTTGCCTATGTCACATATTATACCTTTCCCTAAACGAAATGATCCATCCACTGCTCAAGATTTTCCTCCTGGAAAACACGTATTGGCAGTTTATCCTGGAACAACTGCGCTGTATAAAGCAACTGTCGTGAATACTCGCAAGGTAATTTCATTGCGTTGACTTTTATGTTGACAATTGTCATGCTTTAAGCTATGTCTATGAGGATAGTGGCGTGTAACTAATGTTTTCTTATTTGCCTGCTGCTATTGTTTCTGGGCACGATGCGAAAACCTACAGAGGAAAACTGACGAGTAAGTTTTCCCTCATAACTCCATCTATCCTATGAAATTTACTATTTGATTTGGCACAGTTTTAGTTTTTTTTATCATCCAAGAAAACTCTTAGATCCCGTTTGGTTTGTAGGATTGGATTGGATTTGGAATTGAATTCCATTCCAATCCTATGTTTGGTTTGAAGGATTTCCTAGATTTGGAATTCCAGGATTTCATAAAAATCCATAAACACAGGATTTCGAAATCCCACGAGAATGGTTGGTATTTCACGGGATTTCATAGATTTCTATGTAATAATATTTTAAAATATGTTAACATTTGTCTCATAATAATCAATTAATAAAAAGGTAATGTTATAAATTATTTATAAAAAATGGAATTTCATTCCATTCCAAATCCTACAAACCAAAGATTCCAAATCCAATCCCTCTAATTCCAAATCCCTCAAAACCGTTGCATCGAACCAAACGCCACCTTAGAGTAGAATCACTTTCTATATAGTCCCCCGGCTTGCTAAAAAGTTTTAGGAATTAAACAAATTAGATTTTTATCAAGATGTAGCCTTGTTTTTGTTCTTTTTTCAAGTACATAATATTTATATACGGCACATACGCACGCACATTCCTTACCTTTTGTGAGATTTGAACCCTGGCCTCCTAGGAGACTGGGCTCCACCAGTAACCCGGGGTTATCACTGTGCCAATGGTCCTTTGGTGTTTGTTTCATCGTTTACTTGTTCTAAGACTTATTTTCATTTTTTGTGCAGTTATGTTCTGGAATTTGACGATGACGAGGAAGACGGATCGTTGCCTCAGAGGCATGTGCCTTTCCACAAGGTAGTTGCCCTTCCAGAAGGGCATCGCCAGTGAAGTACAAAGATCGGTTTCATACTTGTTATATGAAGTTATTGAGGTCCCTTGAGGTTGTATTTGAACTCTTTTATCGTGTCTTGTAATATAACTGTTTATCGTAGCCTTTTTTTGGACTCGAAAGTTCTTTTAAATCGATAATTGGTGTGTAAAGTGAGAAACTAGATTTTCATTAAGTCTTGTATGGATAAAGTTGTCTGTGTGAATTAATATGTCATGAGCAAAATTTGTTGCAATTTCATTTCCGGATTCACGATAAGCAACTCCTTATGCTGCTTTCGAGAGATAAGACACTTAGTAGATTGTGAAGGTTTTTGTTTGGCCTCGGAGGTTCAAATCCGGTGACTCCGGCTACTCGCAAAGCAGGTGGTTGTTCTGGGATCAATCGGCTCGCATAGCGAGTTGGATATACATGTTAATATAAAAAAATTGTTGAATATTCTAGTATTTTAATTTGATACAAGTAGTTTAGTAATATACCAATCACATCCATCTCCGTTTTTTGTTTCACCTATTTTTGTGAAACAAAAAAATTCTTTTTTTGTCATCACTTGGGGGTCATTCACTAAACATTTACCGGGTAAGCGCTTACCGTATGTCACTTACCTACCTTCCAGAAGAGCATTGCACGGACCTATAATCTTACCAGGTAAGTGAGGGAGAAATCTCTTGTCGAGTAGATGCTTACCGCGTAAAGTACGCTTACCAATAGTCTGTTTTGATGGCCAAAAATGTTATCTCGTAAAGTAAGTGATGGTGGTGATCTTGCTAGTAAGCGCTTTGAGAGTAAGGGTTGGTTTGTTAGCAGCTTAATAAATTTAGGGGTTGTTTATTATATGCTTACTGAGTAAGTAGTTACTAGTATCATTTACCTTATCGCTTGAGTATGACAAGGACAAAAAATCTTATCTGATAAGAGACAACAATGATCGAGAGTTTAACCTGGTAAGTGAGGTTAATGACTCTTACCCGATAAGCGCTTACCGGGTTTATGACTCTTACCAACAATCAATTTTGATGGCCGAGGATATTACATAATAAAGGTAAGTGAGGGAACTTCTCTTGTTGGTAAACACTTACCCAGTAAGCGTTTGGAAAACGCCCCCTTAATGAGACTCACAATTTATTCGGTTACCTATACATGACCATTTGATAGTGACTTAATGATAAAGAAAGTAGTTTATTCAGTAAGCTTCTAAGGCGGAGTTTTATGCAGAAAGCCAGCTTTTTTCCGAACTTGTCCATCCCAATAAGAAAACAAGATTCTTTCATCTATAGACAATTTAATCCACACACGGCTTTATCCATAACACGACTTAATGTAAAACCAACCAAACAACCCCTAAGAGTTTGGTGAAATGGTCCCTAGTCATGTTATTTACCGTCTTATCCAACGTGCCAAACGCAACCTAAGGAATCGAATCAAAACCGAACATGACATACAACTCGATATATAACAAAATTCCAGCCCAGAAAAAAAAGGGATTTTAGCACAACATTTTTCAAAAGAACAAATTAATAGCATTCAGTGATACACAATATTCCCATAGATATCAAAATGTTGAATACATGAAAAAGATTAAACCCTTAATACTTGCTGCTTATCTATTTCTATTTATGGCAAGTGTGTTTGCTACTTCTATTCCCTTCTTTTATCAAATGCCTTAAAGAGATTTACAATGCCTCTTCTCCGTGCTTCGATGGAAATTTTTCAAAACGAAAATATGTCCAATATATGTTCTGCAAATCTGCATCGTTTCCCCTTCCTAAAAACTACAATCTGGTCTTTCCTCAATCAGTCCCAAAACGTTCTTAAAACCAATAATGTGTTTGGAGTTGGTGTGTGAAACAAGAGTTATGGAACTCGAGTTACCTGATAAAGATTTCAAAATTTTGCCGCCTCGTCTAAATCGTCGTCTCCCCAAAGTTGTTTTCGGGCAATTAGGACTCTTTCTTCGCTAAGGGAGAGAGGGTCGGTCTTTGGTTCGACCTCTAATGAGTATCCATCCCATCTTAAAGCGGTCAAGAACTTTCGAATGTGGTCAACCACAGAGGACTGGTCTCTTATGATCACAAACCCTTCGGGCCTTAGCATACGATCCATTTCAATCAGTAAATCTTCCACGCTGCAGCCTCGGTTCTCGATCTCTGAGAAAACTCTCCAGGCGTGAAGAAGGTCGTAAGTGCGTGGATATGTTGAAAAAGATTCACACCTGCAAGACCAAACCAAATGGACCCAGTTAAAATTTCTTGGATCCTCATGAGATTTGAAGATAAAAACCAAAACAAACGCACCCAGTAAGTTGAACCCTACCCCAAGGGGTGAAAGACTGTTTCCATGAAGACCCCCGGCTTGCAAAAAGAATAAGGGTGTGTTTGGTACATGGACAGAACTGAGGGGCTGTTTGGTAGGTTTCCCATTAAGTCCTGTATGGATAAAGTAGTCTGTGTGGATTAATCTGTCTGTATAGATTGGGAAGATTTTGTTTGAGAGGGTTTTTTCATAGATGGAATGAGCTTGTTTTTTAATTAGAAGGAGCATGTTCAGAAAAAACTTGGCTTACTGAATAAGCCACTTTCTATATTATTAAGCCACTACCAAACAGTCATTTATAGCTGACCGGATAAGCTGTGAGTCCCATTATGCTTATTAAGCTACTAACAAATAGGCCTGTGAGGTAGGCTAGGGAAGGAATTGTGAAAGGTTTTAGGGTTTTAATTTGACATGAGTAGTTCAGTTTCATCTCCCTTAATTTTGTTCCACCTATTTTGGTGGGACAAAAAAATGCACTTCTGTCCCTGTCAGTCTCGTCCTCCAAACATGGGACAACAAGTTTTTTTTTTTTTTTTTTGTCATTTCCAGTGTATCAAACGCACCCCAAAAAATAACAAGCAAGCAGGCTACATGAGAGAGAGAGAGAGAGTGTGTGTGTGTGTGTGTGTGTGTGTGTGCGCGCGTGCAAACAAGCAAACAGGAAATGCACACCAGTCATGAACGGTTCCAATTAATCCCCTGTCATAGATGATCTTCAACCTGGAAGATGCATTAACCGGAGCAACGTTCATCACCCAAACATCTTTGTCTTTCAGAGCAGCAGCAAATCCACCAAGATTGGAATTCATATCCATGACATTTCTAATGGAATCCTTCTGTATAACGGATCTCATCTGCCTCCAATACTCGATAACTCTATGATACCATGTGTTCTGCATCACATCATGAGCATAGACCATGTAGCACTTGACTATCAACAAATACTCCCACAGCCACAAAATAAGTGTCCATGATGAGAAAGGCACAGGGTTTTAGAAATATGTATTATTACATTCTTTTTGGAAGACTAATCCCCGCAAATTGTTGCCGTAAGACATCAGCCCCAAGAAACTCAGTGGCCACAATTGTTGTGAACGCCTGAAATTGAACCCAGGCCAGATGGGATATTCCACCACATCCCCCTGGGCCTCAACCACCACAACCCTTGTGATTACACTTTTTAGTTAACTAAATGACAATTTTATCCTTAGTTATAAAGGGGCTAATGAATGTCTCCATCTCGTTATTAAGAGTAAAATTGGAAATTATGCACTTTTGAAAGTGGGCGCTTATACGGACAAACTAAAATAGAATTGTGGACACTTATTTATGGACGGATGGAGTAATTAACAGCATTTGCTTCTTGCACTTAGATACTTACAGTGTCTTCTAGAAATTTATCAGGACTAACACCAATTTCATCGAGGCGAGGAGGAGGCCCTGTAAGCCTACTTGGCCATGGTTCAAGTCCACTCCCTTTTCGTTTGTGCGTCTCTGAATCATCAAAATAAAAAATGTATCCAAATTGGACAACATATAAGAGTTAAATCATGCTTGCCACTGGGTGTAATCTTAATAAGTTGCATAGAAAACAACTTTAATAAATGTGATCTACAAATAGCAAGACAATGCAACCAATTCGGACCTCATTACAAAAAAAATGGATTGTAAAATAGACAGTTTCCAAACTAGATGAAACGGTCACCAAACCTATACCGAAACAAAAGAATCCAGTCACATACCAAGATTCTCACAACCATAACAATTACATCATTTTTGTCCCATTGCCATCTAAAATAACAAGTTAGGACCAAGATTAAGGTGGTTCAATTAACCAATATATTAAAAGGGAATCATTGATTGTGAACTAAATGACCGCCAACTATTAGGTAATTGGATTTGTAATATTCCACTTCAATTTGACGGGTAGGATGTAATGTATGAGATTGTGGTAATTTATACATCTTTGCGTTAGGTATGACGGTGACAAGACTATAGAAGTTCAGCAAACACCTTATCTATGTTGCCTTACGTTTTTCATAATTCTAGAGAGTTGGTACAGTTATAACACTTACTTGCAGAGTATGGAGTAATGCATGCCTTCATCTGCACATCCCAACTCACATCTGGATCATTTTCTGAGCTGCATAGAGGAGGGTTGGTTCCCGGTGCTCTCTTTAAGTAACAGCTATTACTTAGTGACTTAGCCCATATAACGGTCTGATCTCTCCTTGAAACGACCCTCCAGCACATATTTCTCAGTAGATCATGCATACCATTCCAAATTCTTCGATTTTCAGCATCGTGTGCATATGCTTCTGGTGAAGAGTACACAAAATAACCTCCTGGTCTAAGCAATCTGTCCAATTCTAAAAGTAGAATCCCATCCCTCTGGAGCCAATCGATCCGACAACGTGAACAATGAGCCATTTCAAATGATCTACTAGGGTAAGGAAGCCTTTTGGTACCCAAGACTCCTAGTGTAGATGGAATCCCACGCTCAAGTGCAAACTGGATTTGATTCTGATGCACATCATTTGGTGCAAGAGACATCGCTATAATGCCTAGAGGCAAAAGATAAGCCCCAAAACTTGCAACCCCACAGCCCACATCAAGAACAGATCGGATATGTCCTCCATTGTTGATTTTATCACCAGGAAACTTGAGCATCTATACGAGCACAATGGTTATGCAGGTTAATCAAACAAAAGGGTGCCCTAATTCACCAAAACAATAACTTCAAAGTAATAAACGATAAACATGACCTACCGATGCAATGGAAGCTATGTACTTATCAGCACCAGAATGAAAATGGGTTCCTCCACCGGGAAACCTTATTCTGTCTCCAACCACTGTCATCCAATTTTGATCTGATTTCTCCTGAGCAAGATGAGTATGGGGTATGTTTGCCTTCCAAACCTCATCCCTACTTTCTGGCCACCTGATTGGGATCTGGAATTATAACGCCAACCTCATTGAACACTTAGCCAAAAACACTAAAACTTAGGAGATGTAACACATTACTATGGAGTTCATAGTTACTTTCTGTTTGCTTAATTTCAAGACCTAACATTATAATTATCCATTTATCCTCCCCCCCCCCCCCCCCAAAAGAATGCATATGATTGAAGGAAGCAGAGACGAATTACACTAACCTTGTATCCAACTGGAGGCGGAATAAGGCAATTATATCGTCGTTCTGCAGGTGGACAATGTCGTTCATAATGCTCCATTAGAGACAAATTAAGCTTCAACTTCAACTGATATATAAGATGTCTATCCAAACAAGGTATCAACTCCGAATGCCTCATATCACAGACCTTCAACAAAACGAACAAAAAACAAAACTAATCAAGTAAATGTACTAGTTTTGACAATCTAGAACAAAATCCTAAAATTCTGAAACAACTTACAGGTAAACTTTTGGGAACTTCAGAGTTTTGTTCTTGATCTTCAAACAATTCATCGAAATAATCACGTTTCGGTACAAAACTTCCGATAACCGGATCCGTACCGTCGTCCAAAGCAATAACTTCTTTGGCTCTCGGTAAATGAGGAGCGAATGTTGAACCATTATACAAACAAATCAAACCGAGAAGAACAATTAATCCTAGCAAAACCTGCTTCAATAATTTTTTACGGCGAATGAAGTCTGTAGCAGTTGACTTCATTTTCCGATAAGATACAAAAACAACCGGTGTTTCACGTCTGGAACTAGGATGTCAGCTTGCTTTTACGATGAAAACCCTAGCTGCAAATCCATTTTTTTCCAACCAACCAAGCAAGGAATCTACTGGTTTTCACTGTGGTTGCTGATTAAAGTCCAAATTATTTATCACAAGTTGCAAGTATACACGCATACAATATTCCAATAATCTCACTGACTGTGTGTGAGAGAGAGAGAGAGAGTAGATATATATATATATATAGAGAGAGAGAGAGAGAGAGACTGAGAGAGGCACGATGGTTGGAATTAAAAACTGTGGTTTTATGTAAAGGGATGTTTGGATGGCTTATTTAAACTCTTATTCATTTTGGGGGTGATACTAATAATAAGCAGTTTTAGTGTTTATATAGAAAAAATATTTATAATAGATAAGTTGTATTAAATGGTTGATAATAAAAAAAAATTATAAGTAGATAAATAACATATTCAATGTTAGAAAAATATTTTAATATACCAAGGTATCAACCCGACCAACTCGTACGGTTTGGATTGGGTTGGATTGAATTGCACTTTAGTTTGGATTTGATTGGATTAAGATTTTTCAAACCACGAACATTAAGTTGAGTTGTTCAAATATCTTTAATCTGATCAATCCAATTCCAACCTATGAACATCTCTACTAATATTAAATATTAAATTGATATTAACTTAATATACGAAAAATCAAAAATAGATATTTTTTCCAAAATGTTGTGGGCTCCATTTGAAAAAAAACCAAAACGAAGAGATAGCAACGAGTGTCGTGACAATGGCAAACCATTCATGCATTTATGAGCTCTATTATGTAATTTACAAACATACCCTTATTTATTTTAAAGTAGAGTCTAACTAATTAATATACGTGTAAATAGAGGATCATGCGAAAAGTTTAACATTTTGAGATAAAGCAAAAAGTCTCAGTATCATGTATGATTACATTTCTCTGGGTATGTTTAATCATATATGATTAAGTGTGTATGTATTGTCAATATTATATGTGTTTAATCATATATGATTAAACTTGTGTATCTGCTTGTAATCATATATGATATTGAGACTTATCGTCATCCTGCAAAATATTTAACTTCTCGTTTGAACATATCCCTATATGGCTATACGTGTAATTTATAAATATTTTTAATTTTCACAAATTCTTTCATTTCCTTTTTCTCCCCCATTTGGGAGGAATATCAACATTTTTTTCATTTCCTTTAACCCCTTAAAGACACATCCGTTGCTCCCCTTTCATTTCTTTTCCTTTCCTTTCTCCCCTATTTAATAGACCACCGCTTGATTTACCTACAATATTATACTTCCCGGTCATAACTTTATCTGTATGAGTCAACTTGAGGGTTATTGATCCCTAATTGTATGGGTCAATACCAAAAGCCTTTGTCTTAACGGTATCGTAGTACTTGGCCTCCTAATAGGTTAATAGTTCAAACCTCACTAAAAATGACGAGGGTGTGTGAACTTATTTGTTGCATTTGTCATATAAAAAATGTATGGGTCAACATGATGGTTATTGATCCCTATTGTATATGTCAATTCGTGGGTTATTAGTAAGAAACCCTTCAAAAAAAATTATATTATGCGTGTAATTTAAACCAATATTTATGATGAGCCAAGAAGTTTATTCAAGTTGTAGGTTGTCTTTTATTTTGAAAAATACTGCAATTAAAATAAATTAAATTGTAAATAACAATAATTTATTTATTTTTTTATCAAACAGGAAAAAAAAGTGAATTAATTTTTCTAATTATCGCATGTGTATATTTAAATTAAAGATGTTTAGATATATGTTTTTAAAATAGTTACTAGAATTTAATAATCAATTAATTACATTTAATAATTATTATTTAATTTGCATTTATTATAACTAGTAATAAAAAAAAATATATGTTATTTGATTTAGATTTATGTTTAGTAATTATAAGTTAGATGTTGTTTGGCAGTTGCTGAATGATTTTGTGTAAAATGGTTAAGTGATCATAATGATTAAGAAGCTCTTATAATATAGTGTAAAATAAAATATAATTGTTTGATAATTATTCATAATGAAATTAGTATACTAAATGGTTAAAGGAGACTCAAAATACAAAATCGTTCAAATGGTTTTAGAATCGTTAAGAGGTAGATTTTTTTTGTCAAACAATATTCACCTCTTAGTGATTCAAAAATTGTCTCTTAATAGAACTACTAATAGATAAAAAAAACAATCGCTTGGTTTATTTATTGAGTTTATTGTACAGAGCTTTATTTAGATAGTTATGTAGTGTATCTACAAGTTTTAGACGTTTTTTTCTTTGTCATTTGTTCCATATATAACCATTATACTCTAATTATTATTAAATAAT